GGCACAAACAGTGTTAGCTGTCAGCTATGTCCATTTGGCTTCTAACTTGTCCACCACATGGCATGGGGAGCTGGACATCTAACTAGGAAAATTTAAAAAAAGAAAAAGAAAAAAGGTAGCCTCTATTCAAAGCACACCCATAAGACACTCATGGGAGAGAGGGAAACGACAATGCATGATGAGTAGAAGGGACAAACTGGAAAGGCGCTAGGCCAAGAAGGACCCACACTTGCTGGTGAAGAGTGACATGGCCGTCACCAGAATAGTAGCATTTCCAATAGCCGGGGTGTGACAAAATCAAACCGTCATTGGCTTCCTCAATAATTTGTTGAAAGGTTTAAAGTAATGTGTGTTTTGGTATATAGTTGCTTAAGCCATGTTTGAGAAAAGTGAGGAGTTGGTTGTGGAAGGGGAAGGATGGGAATGGTGATTAATCCATCAAGTGCATGAATGATTTAGGTTGTTTGCTCTAGTTAGCCATATAATGGTTTAGTGTTTTTGGTTCTGTTGTTAGATTTTAACCCATTTAGGTGATCGGTGTTTCATCTTCTTTAATGTTGTGTGGTCGTGCATGCTCTGTTTTCACTTCTTTCTGGAAGTTGTTGGCATGAGCAGCAAGAGGGCAGTTATTTGATTTCATCGTATTGTAGAGCATTGACTGTCAGTTTTGAGCATTCGTCTTCTCCTTTTTTAACAATGAGTGTGCTAGGTTTTTGTTTGCTTCTGTTGAATTGTGCTCTGTTTTGCGGTCGGTACTATGTTCATTGTTTATATGTTAACTGACTATGCATTATGTTCAATTTTAGTTGAGTATTTGGTATCTGGAGTGAACATGGATGCTGATGAAGAGAGGAATGAGAGTAGTGATAATAGTGAGGAAGAATACAATAGTGATATTAGTGAAAGTAATAGGGAGGAAGGGACACATGGTGACTCCGAATATGCATTCTTAGAGTTTGAGAATAGTGACGAAGAGGACATTGATGATGATTAGTTTTCACGATATGTAGATGTGGGAGTAAGTGATGTGTAAGAAGAAGTTGTTGGTAGTTCTCAATTTATGAGAGTGCCAGTTGAAGAAGGAGGGCAGAATAATGTGTTTGAGACAAGAGAGAAGGATATGTTAGGTCTATTATCAGATCATGAGTCTGAGAAAATTGATGTAAGTGAAAGATCAAGTGAAGAAGATGATAAGACAGCAGGGATAGTGAATAAGCTAAGATATAATCCAGCGGAGATGTGCAAAGAGTTTAAGTTTATGTTGGGGATGGAGTTTGCCTCAATTGGTCAGTTTAAGGATACAATCAGAGAGTACGCATTGCTCTACAGCTATGAAGTAAAATTCATAAAGAATGATAAGGTTAGGTGCCGAGTGAAATGTGCACAAGAGGAATGTAATTGGTTAATGTTTGTGAGCCAAGTAAGAGGTGAATTAACATATCATTTGAAGACACTTTGTTCAAAGCATACATGTGGGGTGTCAATAAAGGGAAAGAATGCTAGCGACAAGTGGGTGGCAGAAAAGATAGTTCACATAATGAACAGAAACAAAAATATTAAGCTGCCTGATATAATTGGATCACTAAGGGAACACTATATGGTTGATGTGTTTGTATGGAAGGCCTCTAAGGCAAGGAGAAGGGCGAAGACCATGATTGACAGCAATTAGAAGGAGCAATATCATAAATTGAGAGATTATTGCAATAAAGTGAGCAAATGTAACTCAAGGACAATATTTGCCTTAGTTACTGATAAACCTTACTCAGACCACCCTCCCGTATTCAAGAGAATATATGAATGCATAGGATCCGTTAAGCGAGGTTTCCTAGCGGGATGCAGACCTATTATTGGGTTGGATGGGTGTTTGTTAAAGGGTCCATATGGAGGGATGTTGCTTGTAGCCGTGAGATGTGATACTAATAATCAATACTGTCCATTAGTGTGGGCTATGGTAGAGAGAGAAAATAGAGACTCGTGGACTTGGTTTTTGAATAATCTATTTGATGATATCGGTAGTATGCAAGAAAGATGGGTCTTTATATCAGTTCAACAAAACATCAACTACTTAACTATTTGTGAGTTGTAACATTTTTTTGTACGTAATTAGAATATATGTTTATTTGGATTATTGAATATTTGTCTTTGATGACTTGTAGGGTCTTGTGCCAGCAATGAAGAGCTGCTTGAAAGAGTTGAACATCAGTTTTATGTTCGGCATTTGTACTCTAATATCAAGACCAAATATGGAGGAGGGATTGTGATTCGCAATTTAGTCCATTGACCTGTAAAGGCAACAACAAAAACTGACTGGAAGGGGCGAATGAATGAGTTGAATGCTGTCTATAGTGGAGATTATGATCACTTGATGGCAATCCATGCAAGCTGTTGGGCAAGGTCTCATTTTGATGAGTATTGCAAGTGTGATATGATCACCAACAACATCACCGAGTTGTTCAATGGAAGATTGTTGGAAGCACGAGAACTTCCAATTGTGAGCTTACTTGATTGGATTCAAACATATCTAATGACTCGCTTTGCAGAAAATCGTGTCAAGGCCGATAAGTATCGTGATAAAGGGATTGTTTGCCCACGACCTCAGAAAAGATTGGATAAATAAGCAAGAATGTCAGAAATGGGAGGTTAGATATGCAGGCGACAATCGATTTGAGGTGTCATTCAATGCTCATAAGTTTAGGGTTGACCTTACTAACAAAACATGCACTTGTTTCTGGTGGCAACTTAATGGGATTCCTTGTAGGTAAATATTTACAATTTATATGATTCTATTATAATGTAAGGTTTGCTGGTTCTGTTATTATTATGTATATTACATGTCATGAACACGTGACTATGTATGTATAATATACTGTTTGGTTAATTTTTGTTCCCATTCAATTATCGACTGGTTCTGTTATTAAATCAATGTGAGGTGAGAAGGAGGATAATGATCTGTTGTTTGCTAGTTAATATACTCTTTGCTGGTTCTGTTATTAAATCAATGTGAGGTGAGAAGGAGGATAATAATCTGTTGGTCGCTGGTTCTGTTCATTGGTTCTGTTCACAGTTTAACGTAGATTAATCATACCCTCATAATACAGCGAAGCTTTCCTCTTTTATTCTTATGAACTCAGAATATGTTGGTTTTCCTTTAGTGTCATGGAAAATAAACATGTGGTGATTGATGACTGAAAAATGAAATTTAGTCCTGCTTAGGTATTCATTCAATTCCATTGATACTATTCTATATGTGATGCTCTATAGATTATCAACTAACACCATTTTATGGAATCTATTGAGTACTATTCTAAATGAAACCCCCCTCAACTTGTAATGAATTGATCTTTCAAGTTTTGGGGGAAACTGACTCAGATGCGTGATGTTGTTTTCAATTGAAATAACTATCTTACTCTTTGATCTTCATAACTTGTTTAATAATTTTTTTACAGACATGGAGTTGCTTGCATATTTGCTAAGAGGGAGGATCCACATGACTATGTAGACAAGTACCTAACATTGCAGTCATATGTTGCTTGTTACTCTTCTGTCATTGAGCCTATGAATGGTGGGAATATGTGGGAGAAAGCATATGGTGAGGCTATTGATACTCCAGTTTATCACAGGCATTCTAGGAGGCCTAAGAATAAACAAAAGAAAGGACGAGATGAACAAATACTCGAGCTAGAAAATGAGAAGCGTCAACATCGGGTTTTCCAATGTTCTAATTGTGGGCAACAAGGTCACAACTGATGGTCTTGCAAGCAATCCAAGAGGCCTGACAAGCTTCCAATCAAAAGAAAAAGAAGAGAAGCTTCTTCTACTCAGGAATCAATTGTTGCAAAGCCTCTTGGAAGTAGTCAACCTTCTTAATTATACTATGTATTTGTAATTTTCAAACTTATGCATCTTGTGACTACTAGCCAAATAGACTAACAAACTTGGCTATAATGTTCATAATATTTTGGATATAATTATTTGTCACTTTTGTATTTTGTGGGAAAGAAAACAATGATTTCTACTTTCTCAACTTAGTGATGCAATTTGTAAATTAATTATATTGAAGTCAGGGAATGATAGGATTTTGGAATAGATTTTGCACAATTTGTAAGTTGTTCTACTATTATTTTGAAAGACAAATTATCAATTATGTTCAATTGGTGCCTAAAGCAAAGCTGTGGTTCATGATGATTTTCTTACTCCATTACAGGAAATTTTTTCTGTTCTATAATTTGCCTAGTCTCTAGTTATTATTTTGTTTTAATTTCCCTCTTCTTCTTTTTGTAGTTCTACAATTTTCTCACTCAATTACAAGGCTATTTCTTTTAGTATTTTTGTAACGCATTACAAGTCAACAGGTAGAGGGAAGAAATTAATTAATTAATAAGCCAGCTGATTTGGTCTAATTAATTAATTAGTTAATCAGTGTGGGGGCTGCGAAAACACTAGAATAATATAATGCCATTTGACTTGTTCAAGAAACAAAAGGGATTCATTTTTTTTTTTTTGGAACCTGCATAGCTTACTATGAGATGTAAATATAATACTGCAGCGCTTTAGCTTTGGTGTTTCGTGACTGTAATGTGCTATGTTGGTACTGAAGAGAGGGAGGCAGGTGGGGTAAGTAGCTTTCTACTTCACAATATTCTACTCTAATACATACACACACCACCATGATCGGTGCCCCAATTCCTCCGTTTTTCCTCTAGATGTCTCTATTCATCATCATTTTATTACTGCTTCATTTCTGGATTTATAACCCAAACCTCTAATTCCAATTACAGTGACCAACCTATCACCTTGCTCTGCTTCTGTTCCCTTTTAATTCCATGGCAGTAATTTATACAATATTTAATCAGTTTTGGATTAGATATACTATCCACCAGTGTGGATGAAACAAGAGCATCATCCACTCCTTCAGAGGCTAATGAACAAAGTTGCGATAGCTACTTGCTGCTGATCAAAACAAAAACTTTTGGCAACAATATATTCATATCATTTTACAGCTACATCATCATTTTACATAGCAATATATTTATAGCAACCACAACATATATCAGCCTTTCCAATTTCCTCATCCTCCTTCTCAACTCAACATTCTCTTCCTTCAGCTTGTTTATCCCATCTAACATTGGATTTTCAACTGGTCCATCAATCCAATCAAAGTATTTGCATGTCCATCTCTCCTAAATAAAACAAAAATCAACAGAAACCATTAGCCATGACCACTCAATCAACAAAACCCATAAACTGAGAAACTCAATCAGATTTGTAAACAACATTATCGTTCACTAACCATGTAATTTGGACATTTAACAAATCTTGTGCCATAATTTTGCTCTATCCATGAAGTTAGCACTATAACCTCATCTCCACATTTGCATCTTTGGACACCCATTTCACCCAACCTTCTGCTGATAGTGTGTGAAGATGAAGTTCTTCTAGAAGCCATTGATGAACACCACAACCAAAGACTATTTGAAGGTGCCAAACAAGTCGAACCAGAGATGGGGGGAAAATTGATTTTGTCCAGCTTGAGCTCTGTCTCGGTTTTGTGCCTTTACTTCAGCTTCTCTTCCCCTCGCAAAATGTTCCACTTCCCTTCACCGAGCTTTCCTTCACCCACTGTACCTTTGCCCGATCTCCTCTTTCCTTCGGCGAATGTAGCTTCACCAGACCTCGTTCTCCCTCCGCCCACTAGCCCTTCACCAAATCCCTTTGTTCCTTCTTTTATGCCCTACTCGGTAGCCCCATCTCTTATTTGAACAGAGGGAAGCTACTCAGCATGCATCGTTGTTTCCCTCTCTCCCATGAGTGTCGTGTAGGTGCGTTTTGAACAGAGGTCGTCTTATTTAAAAAAAAAAAATTTCCTAGGCAGATGTCCAGCTCCCCGTGCCATGTGGACAAGTCAAAAGCCAAATGGACATAGCTGACACCATTTGTGTCAACTCAGCAAAATGTAACAGCATCTGGCTCCCAAGCACTAACAGTTTGTAACGGGATAAATTTTAGGGACCAATACCTCGGGTCCCAAATTTCAGGGACCAAAACCTAAATGGGCCTAAATTTGATGGACGAAAAGTTGTATTTTCCCAATATTTAAACAACGTAATAAAATACCTTTATTAAAAAAGACAAAAAGATATTGATGAGAAAATATTGTAGAAAACATGGTGTAAGAGAACGAAAGAGATTTATGAGGATGACGCTCCTTATTGATAATTTATGTGGGTCCCTCCACTGAAAAAAAAAATGTGGGTCCCATATATTTTGTCTACTTTTTTATGGGTAAAACTGTGAACAGGCATCATCAATATTATTATGATGAAAGATTATTCTTCATTTAGAAAGTTAAAAGTTCAAACGCTAAAAAAAGGAAAAATCCTATAAAAAGGTCTCAATAGAAATCCATCGCCAGTTTCCGTTTAAAGATGTTGCTGCTAAAACTCCAAGTGAGGATGGTTCATCCACAATGACGCTGTCTATTTTAGCACAAGAATGGACAAATTTAAGTGGCAAGTAGAAAATTTTATGACTTCAACTAATTGGCATTAGTTTTGATGATCATTTGGATGCCTTTTATTGTGTCAGCCTATTGATATCATTGCATATCTCTTTGACAAACTGCTTTTCCAGAGTTGCACTCAGTTTCGTGTCTCTGAAATCCATATAGATTAGTGTATCTTTCCTTGTAAGTTAAAAATAAATTTATCTATAATTCGTGTTCATATGGTCTATGATAGTTGTATGAAACTGTGGTTGATGGCAAAAAAGGGTATGAAACTTTAATTTGATGGTGGCAATATTAATTCTTGTCTATAGTTTGATGATAATTATTTTCCTGACAATGATACTTTATTAATTACCATATAAAAAAATTAGAGTAATACACTGACCTCTTCTTTATTCAAACCTAAATCACAGAGGTCTCTCTTTTATTTAAAAAATCTATATAAATTTTTTTGGAAATCAAAACATATATTACATAAAACTTTTTTTTTAATTATAATGTTTTGCATCCATCCATGCAACTACTAATTGAGGGGTTAATACATTATAAAATTTAGTGTAAAATGTGGTTTGAGTGTAAATTAGGCCAAAATAGAATAGTATAAATAAAAGGGTTCAGGACAAATCTATCTAAGAAGTATTCGCAAATGCGTACAAACATCATATGATATTCACTCAAGTGTAAAAATGCCCATGGACAAAGGGTGCAAAAATACTATACTTGTTAAATCAAACAAATGTCTATTAACTTTAAGAACATAAACATATATGAGGATCACCATTAAAAAGTAATTAGGGACATTTGCTTAAATAAACGATGATGATATTTTTGCATGCTTTTAAAATCTTCACAAGAATTTTGCAACCGAGTGAATATTATGCATAATGCTGGGTGTACATTTGCATGTATTTAGTTTCCTAAGTAGATTTTTAAAATATATATTCTTGCTGCTTCTACTTCTTAGGCTGAGTAGTTTCCAACCTTCCTTTTTCATAAAGAGGCCTTCATATAGGAAGGGGAAGATAGAAAAGAGGGAAAGAGAAGGAGAGGAGAAAAATTAGAGGAGGGAGGACAATAAGAAATGAGAGGGAACCTGAAGTTAACTTGCCCTTAATTTGTCGCTTTGGGGTTACTCCAACAATTAACCGAATTAATGCAATATAGTGCACAATCCGGGTCGTATTCACTTTGAGGAACAGAAAACGAAATTAAATCCTAGTAAATAAATACAAGTAACCTAAACTATAAAAAGAATTTTTGATTTGATAATTGCTAAGTAAACACCTTGAATTAAATTGAAATTAAAATACTTTTTTTTTGTTTTTATATAAAAATGATTAAAATGAATGAAGATTAAAGAAATGAAAATGAACACACAAATAACAATGATAATAATCAATCCTCCAATTCAACAATGCAGGCAATCATCACTCTAAAGATGTGGGAGTTAAAACAATGAATTAAGAATATAATTAAGCTTTTAATCCAACAACCGAGCCACCTCGAGTTGCCACAAAATTTTCCTAAAATCCCAACTTACTAACTGCAACCAGAATAGTAAAATAGGATTAAGGATGCTAAAAACCAATGCTTAATTAGAACTCTTAAATCCAAAATAACAGAATTAAAACTAGCAAGAGACAATATGATCCAAAATTCCAAACCACCTTAGAAAATCACAATATTAACTCCAAAATCAATACAAATGTCATAACCACAACATTATAATTGAAATCAAAGCTATAACAGCCCAATGGCAAATGCTAAGCAATAATCCAGTCACAATAATCTCCAAATATAATCAGATTAAGCAATACAATTATCCCAACAATCAGAAAAACTTTCCTAAGACCTAGGAATTGTTAAACAATTATTGAGTAAGAAATTAAAGCAACTAAAACTCCCATTTGAAGATCCAAGCTCCTGCTATTGTTGTTGAATTGGAGAATTAGAGGATCTTAGCCACGGTTTGTCATGAGAAATGCCATATTCAGAACTTTGCTACAGGATCCCATGGAAGAACACTGTTCACGGTGAATCTGTCGTGCTCGTGCTATTCGTTCTGCTGGTTCTGTCGTGTGTGCGTGTTTCGTGTGCGCCTCCTCTTCCGCCAAATGAAGGTTATTATTCGAATACTGCCAGCCGCCCCTGTTTTTCTCACGTCTCCTCTGCTCGTTCGTGGGTCTTGTGTTCCTTGCCGCGCCCAGCTCCCGTGTTCGTCTTGCTGCCGTCGCTGATCTGTCTGCCACCAGGAGATTCAGCGAAAAGAAGACGGTGGGGATGGAGAGAATGGCTCAAAACTGAGCCCCCGTCGTTCAGCTCTCTCTCCCTATTCGTCGCCGTCGAGCTCTGTGCGTGCCGCCTCGTTCAGCTTCCGCCAAGATGAAGAAGAAGATTGTAATAATATATATCAGGGGTGGAGCAAAACGCAGCGTTTTGCTCCCCCCTTTATTATTTTATTTTTTTAATTTATTTTTCTTTTCTTTTTCTTTTTTATTTTTTTATTTTCAAAATCTTCCAAAAACCTACAAGCAAAAATTCAAAGATAAGGTAGTATTAATTGTCCTCAAAAATTAATTAGTCACAATTAAACCAAAATATGATAATTTTGCCCCTATAAAATAATAATTCAAAATAAAACATATTAAATCAACTAATCAATCAATTAAGGTCAAAAGGGACTAATTAAGTTGACAAAACCCATATAAAAGATATCAAAATATATAAAAATAATTGAGTTTGTCAACTCCCCCACACTTAGCCTTTTGCACTCCTGGGCAAAACATCATTAAAGAAGAATCCAATAGAGACACTCAATGCAAGCAAACATAAAACTAACTAAGCATGAATGTGCAATTAACTCAAGCAACCTTTATTCCTAATCAATCAACAATTATAGAATATTTCAGTGCAAAGAAATTAACACTTGAAACATAGCTGGATAAAAGAAGAGAAACATAATAGAGCTCACATAGGGTACAAGTGTTTCACTCATCTCTCAAATGGGAAAAATTTCACTCAATCCACCTAGATTAGCACCTACCATAAGCTTGTAGAAATTCTAATATCTCCACCACTAACATACCTTAGACTCATGATCAAGGGGACTTGAAGGGTTGTAATGTCGAAAAACAAGGCCAAATGAATGAATGGACTAACAAGTGAAATGCATGAGTAGTAAAAAATCAACCCAAAGTGAGCTTAAGTACAATCATAAAAGAACACCAAAGTGCAGATTTTAAACTTTTGAAACAGAAATCCTTACTCTTCAAACCACCATGGAATGCCTTATTTCAAATTTATTCTTTTGTTGCAACTTATTTTCTCTCTTTTTTTTAATAACTTTCTTTCTTTGGCTTTTTCTAAACATTTCTTCTCTTTCTTGCCTTTTTCTATCTCTCTCTTCTTCTTCTTCTTCTTTCTTCTTTTTTTTGCTTTTTTTTTTCTTTTTTTTTGACATCCAAACCCAAGAAGGCAAAGATATAGACATTAATGATGTACTTTTCAAAATGAAAAAACCAAATGTAACTCATGCAAAACACTTGCTTAAAAAAATGAATGGAATGAAAGTGAAGGCTCAAAGGAGTGAACAAAGGTTAAATGAAGTGGTTTGTGTTTGGGTAAAGGTTTAGAAATGAATGCCCCTATCATCTTCATAAATCTAGGTATTAATGCAGTTTTGAAAAAGAATCTAGACAAGTTCTAGAGGTTAACCAAAACTAGGTGAAAATCACACAAGATGAGAAAGAATACATGGCTCAAAAATCCTTTCATCAAGGCTTTCTCCAAGATGTTTCCTCCTTAAGGATCAAGCTATGAAACAAAGTTAATAACACTGCACCAAAGGCATTCTACTATGCTAATCAACTAAGAACAAAAATCACTCAAATCAAATGCAATCAAACTCAGCCGTGCAATATTCACAAGCATTGTGTAAAAGG